AATTTTATTTATTTCTACATCATAAGTTGTAAGAGGAGAGAGTTGTCTCAAGGAGACAAAGGAGCAACTGAACTTCTGCAGCTTATGCTTAAATCTGCCTTTCTAAACAGCACTTTCTGAACATACCTCCTGGTCCACTAAGGTGATATCTGGCCTCATCCCCTCACAATAATGAAGGTAACGAAGAGCATTCCCAGGCAAGTCTCCTCTTAGCAGGATCACTGCTCCCACTGGCATGGAGGACAGCACGTTCCTTGCAAACTTATCAACAACGTAGTTGTTGCTCTGATCACAAGTGCTGAAGAGAACAGATGAAAAACAGAATCTCAAAACCAGGTATTTGCATGGCTTTGCAGAAATTCAGAGCAATTTTATGCAACGGGCACCCACAGGAGAAATTCACTCTGGTCAGGTTGGACACATCACAGAGTCACAGAAAGTTTGAGTTGGAAGGGACTTTAAAGAACATCTCATTCCACACCTTCCACTATGGAAGTTGCTCCCAGTTGTTCCCAGGTTGCTCCAACCCCATCCAGCCTGGCCTTGGACTCCCAGGGATGGAGAGTGTCAACAACTAAATCACTACAACAACTTAACATCTCCATTTTCAGAGAAAATGAGATACAGAAACAAAGCTTTTAAAGAACAGGCCCTCAGGAAGCACCACCCACTACAATTTTGCCAGAATACACACACTAACTTCACACCTTTACCTTAATTCTGATTTCTTCTTGGGCTAAATCTAAAACCTTATTAGTGGGTGCTGGAAGTGCCAGTACAATGTTGGTTCAGTAGAGCATTTGAAATCCTCCTCATGCTTTAATGTTTCTATTAAGATTGAAAACCCCAAGTTTTTGTAGTATGAGGCAGAAGTTGATTCATATGATCTGAGATTGGATCCTTTTCACTGAAGTTGTGTGCACATATTCCAGGTATGGATTCAGGTGAGACTTGAGGACAGGAGCTATGATTGGCTCACCTATGGACAAGTGTTGAGTTGTGTTCCTGCAGACAAGCCTTTGGAAAAGGTGTGGCAAAAAAAGGATTCCTGAGGATGAAGTCTGCACTTCCTTGGTCAGCCTGTACCAGAGAATCCCACTGATTCCCATCCAAGTCACTGCATGGGTTATGGGATAAAGGAAGCCCCAAACTACAGATTTATATCTTTAAAAATGGGGAAAAATCAGAAAAAAACTTCAGGGCACAAGGCAGCGTGAAGGAAAGCTAGAGAAGTTTGGAACACATTAATTCTGCCAACCTCCTTAAGGAGAAAAAGCACAGATTTACAAGGGTTTTTTGGAAGTTTATGTATCTTCGAAGTTGTTTTCCCTCAACCTCTGTGACATCCCCATTCACAGCCTGCAGTTGGTGACTCTGAGGAGATCAAACCAGGGGGTTCTGCAGGTTGTGACCATGCAAGCTTAGGTGGGGTGTGAAAAGTGCCCTTCCCACTCCCAGCCAAGGACAGAAACCCCAGGAGCACCCCAAGTCACCCTGCGAGGTGGCACCAAGGGAACTTCTCACCTGTAATTTGCCCAAAGTTGAGAGGCAACGAGAGCAAGAGCAGGAAGCCACTCCAGGCATGGCAGCAGCCAGGTGCCCTCCAGCACAGTGCCCCTGCCAAGGCTGGCCAGCGTGGCCAGTCCCAGCCCTGCCAGCACGGCCACCACAGCACTGCTCTGCAGCCAGAACCGCTCCACCTAGGAGAGAGAATCCCATTATTTGGCTTGGGTTGGAAGGGACCACAAAGATCATCCCATTCTACCCCCCATCCCACACCTTCCACTAGACCAGGTTGCTCCAAGCCCTGTCCAACCTGGCCTTGGAGTTGTATTTTGGCACCTCCTGCAGTTTCAAGACAATTGCCTGCTGCTGGTCAGGTGGTTTTAAGGTTTTGAATTAACATGCCAGAGCAACTTTGGAAGTGCAACTTACCACACCTAGAAACAGAGGCTTTGTAACATCCAAATTTGCTCTCCAAGCAAAGAAAAGGGAATAAAGGCAGAGCATTCCAGTGAAGAGCCAGATCACAGGTGATTTCTGCTGCTTCTTCCTATTAAAAAAAAAAATGTATCACTCCTGAGACATGATGAAAAACGAAACAAAAATTATATGTGCTTGAACTCCTTGCATACCTAAATGCACTTAAAACAAGGAGCTGATAAGCTGATAAGTCTTTCTTTATCTTTGTCATTTATGAAACTTCTGGTTTTAAAGCACAAAACCATCAGGATTTCAGGAGTTTTAATTTTGCCATCTACCAAGCCACGGGGTTAACGAGGAGTAAGGGATATTTTCCTGTTAATAATTGATGACCACAGCCAATTGCTGCAATCTCTTTAGAAGGCAAAACAAGCTGCCCATGCAGGCAGTAAGAAAAATTGAGAAAAAATGCACATTGAAGCAAATATTGTTCAACTTACAGCAGTGCCACCAGTGCCAGGACAAGGACAGGAAGGGAGAGCTCTGACTTCATCTGTGCCAGCTGAAAACTGTGGAGAAATTAAAGAGTGGATTTGTCACCCCCAAATCATCCCTGCACTCAATTAAAGTGTCAGGAGAAGCAGGGAATAAGCACAACTGAATATATTCCCATTCTGCTGGGATTAAGTCTACCAGAAATGGGACAAGGGTGGGTTATATGGCAGAATTTTGAAGGGAAAATCACTGGGATAGGGGATTCAGTGTTTTTCCTTCAGTGGGGAAGACAGAGGGCAAGGATGCTGGACACACACGGCCCCAGCTCTGCACAGGGTGAGGAAAGGAAGGCCAGGAGCCACTTTGGCCCAAAGGACAGCAGCAGCAACAGGTTAGAGTCCACTGAAAGGCACAGCCAAGGTGTTACTCACAGCAGCATCTCTCCCATACTGCATCCTGCCTCGGACTTGGCCTGAAATAAAAACAAAGGAAACCCATGAGGAACCCACACACTGATTGGGTATCACTGGGGCAAGGAAGGTCTTCTCATTTTCTGTTTGCAAGAAAGGCAGCAAGCTCTGCTCCAACCTTCACTGCAAGGTGCTCTCCCATGTTCCTGTTTTATGTGATTTATCCCCTGGGTAAGCATTTCTTCAAGGTGCTGACAACTCATTATCCTGTGATAGAGCATGTCCTATGGTTTAACCATGATCTCTGCTATATCATGGAATCATTTGGGTTGGAAAAGCCCTCTGAGGTCATCGAGTCCAACCATTCCCCCAGCACTACCCAGCCCACCACTAACCCATGTCCCCAAGTGCCACAGCCACACATCTTCTCAATCCCTCCAGGGATGGGGATTCCACCACTGCCCTGGGCAGCCTATTCCAATTCCTGACCATTCTTTCTGTGATTTTTTTTTCCTAATATCCAATCTAAATCTTTCCTGCCACTACTTGAGGCCATGTTCTGTATCTTCATGCTGCAATTATTTTCTGTGACATCTCCCCACAGCCTGAGACAAGCTCAATTCCTCCTTGCTTACCAGACTTGCCCCTTTCTCCTCTGCCCTGACAGATGCAGAGCTGCACAAAATCTTTATGAGATAATGAGAATTTTTATTGTAGAGACTTGCAATCCATGGCACATGTCTAGGAAAAAGACATGCTATGTGGAGGGGAGGAATTATCTTCATTGCTGCTTGTTAGAAAAGTGGCCACTAGATTAAAGAAAAGGTAAACAGATTCAGGAGGTCTGGAAGGAATATTTAATCTCAATAAAAATGGAATAGTTAATTGCATCCAGGATTTGATTAAAAAGTAAGTGTTAGAGGATACAGAGCCAGCACACAGCTCCTGAAGCCCCACCTTGCTGGCAGCTGATGGCCCAGGTCACATCCATCACAGAGATAACATTTCTGATCCATGGCTTACAGGTGGAATCCTCCCTAAAATATTTTCTGGGCTTTTTTTTTTTTGACCCTGCCTGCCCTTAAAACAGAGCTATGGGATGTAAAAGCTGTCTGTCCATCCAGCAGTGCTCTGGCATTATCCCAACTGGCACCAGGACCAAACGTTTGGATTTTGCTGTATTTATTGCTCCTGCTTCAGACAAGTTCATCCTAAATGTGATTTGTGGTGTAGGATTACACGCAGTCCATCCCTAAGCCTCCTGAACATCAACTTGAATTCATCACATTTGATGGGGAGAGGAGTTAAGGGATTTGCATGCCTCGGTATTGCTCTGCCCAGTGGAGGCTGATTCTCAGGAGACAGCTGGGAACAGGACAACAGGGGAAGTCTCACAAGTTCTTCAGAGGGTGGACCTGATCTCTGTAGGGGTTTTGGGGCAGATTTAGTGGCAGCAGCAGGAATTACCATGTCTTTTGACACACATCCTACAGCCACACAGCTCTCTGAGTAGGGTGGAATGGCACAGTGACAGTGATGCCGTGTCATGCTGGCTGCATGTGAAAGGTGATTTCTGAGGATGTGGAGCTCCAGGACTCCAGGGAGTGACAGAACATGTAGACTACACCTTTTTATTGTTTTCCTCCCAGTGGTGTGATTTCCCAGCCCTCTGCCCTGAAAGCTTGGAAGCAGGACAGATTCTGGGGTGATGTGCTGGTGATTTCTTGGGTGGCCAGAGCCCAATGTTCAAGTCAGGGCTGGAGGATAAGGATGCAAATCCTACACTCTGAAAGCAATCATGGATTTTTCCGTCTCTTAGAAAGAGCAGGGACCCCAATAACTCAAATCAGAGGTTCCTGAGAACCCTCAAACCAACCAATCACTTAAATTCAACATTAGTAAGTTAAGAGGAATACTTTAGAACCCTCAAACCAACCACTCACTTAAATTCAACATCAGTAAATTAAAGAGGAATAGTTTTTAAATGAAAACTACTTGTGACCTCTTTAAATGTCTGAGTTAAAAATAGAAAAATAAGACAATATTCATCTTAAAAACACAAGATTGATGTCACCGACTCCCTCTGGCACAGTTTGTTCTTTGGGGTCCTACACACATAAGATACCCATATAGCTCCCAGGAAATAATTTGGCTCACCCCATAAGGCAATGAGAATTATCTCTTTGCTTTCCCAGCCATGTGACCCATTCCCAGAAAACCTGACAGGTCAGGAGGTCGAAATCCGAAATGAATGCTTAAAAAATGAAACATTTTCAATTTCCTTCCCCGCGAGCCCTTAATCGTCACAAACAGAACATTCCTGTTGTTGCATAAGTGAAGAGGAAGCAATTTAGGAAGTGACCCTTGTTTACCAGATTGAATGTCCCATATTCTTCCCTCAGAAAGTGGGTCAAAAATCCTTGAAAAGTCGTCTGGTCTCCCCATGTCCAGCGGGCTCGATTGAGGTAGGACGAAGCCGGCAGATAGAGATAAGGCAGCAAACCAGCCAAGAAGCATAAACCCAACTTCAGCAAATGGCCTAAGGACAATTCCTGCACCAAAATATGTCATATTGCATAACAATGTTTATTTTAGTTTAATCACGCTGGAACTTCAAGAACAGATAAAGAAAAAACATCAAATATATTTACACAGAGCTGATCTCTCAATTTATAGTAAGTCCCTACAAAATGCTATGTTAAACCTTACGATTTTGTGGATTACTAGGAAACTGCATCAAACTGATCTCCTTTGCATGGCAGGGTGAAATTTAAGTGAAGCAAATAATATTAGCTAGGACTCATGAGTATCATACTCATTGCATCTTTCACATTTAAATCATGGCATGACATGCATAGATGGCTGAAGCACTGCAAGGCTGAGATAACCCACTTTGCAGCGATTAAGAGTTGGCTGGTTTTCCATCTGGCAAAAAAAAAAAAATAAACCACCCCACATAAATGCTGCTCTAGTACAACTGCACACATCATCACCATCATCAGGAGTCAGTTTTGCCATTTACTTGATCGTGATTACGCTGGCTAAATTGGATAGGCCAACTTTTGGGGTGGGATTTTCGAGACTGCCTAAGGGGTCAGGGAGACAAGACTTTCAAAGGGACTTCTGTGCCTAACTCCTTTAAGTGCTTTGGAAAATCCCACCCTAGAATATTGCACGCTTGCTTTGTCGTTAGCCAGTGCCCTGTCAATCAAAGCACTTCCTCAGCATTTGGGGTTACTGGGAGTGTTGATCTATGGAGCAGAGAAAGGAGCTTGATAATGATGGTGGTCAGAGCTCCTCCAGAAGAAAAGTGTCTGATTTGTGCTTTAAAAAGGTAGTTTTCCATCCATTTCTATCTTAGTCAGTGGTTTCCTGCAGTAGGCACTACTGGGCTGTCCAATGTATTTCCCAGGATTATCATATTGGCACAGCATTGCCTTTGCTGGAAATCCCAGAGGTCTCTCTAGACCTCCCTGCTCAAAAAAACCCCAAAACAAACTGTTTAAAGAACACAAATATATTGCAGAAGTGATTCTTGACTGTGTTAATGGAAATACATGGCCAGAAAAGGGGGTTGCTGGGGATGCTGAAGAGATTTTGGATTAAGCTTGTCTGAGTTGCATCACATTTCTTGCAGCTCATGTGCTTCACCCAGGCTTAGTTATGCCCTGTGACACTACTGAGAACCACAGGGTGGATGTGGCTTTTGCTGATTGCCACCAGAGAGCCAACACACATAAATTCATCTCCAGGTGAGCTATGGCATGGGGAAATTTGAGTTTTCAGTTCCAAGGATTATTTGAGCTCACAGTGTATTTGCAAGCAGCTGGGGCAGAGCGCTCCTGTGCCAGGGGACACAAGTGGGTCACAGATCACCAGCATGAGCAAAGGCCCTAAATTGTGATCACAGAACCCCAGAATGGTTTGGTTTGGAAGGGAAGTTAGAGATCATGTTGTTTTAACCCCCTGTCATGGCAGGGACACCTTTCACTGTTCCAGGTTGCTGCAAGCCCTGTCTAACCTGGCCTGGAACACTTCCAGGGATCCAGGGGCAGCCACAGCTTCTCTGGGCACCCTGTGTCAGGGCCTCCGCACCCTCTCAGGGAAGAATTTCTTCTTAATATCTAAATCTAATCCTTGCCTCTATCAGTTTAAAGCCTCTTGTCCTATCACTCAATGCCCTTGCAAAAGCCTTCTTGAAGACCCTCTTTAAATCAGACCCCCTTGAGATCAGTAGCTGTGGTGTCAGACTGGACCTTCAGTGGGTCATGATTAATCACATGCATCAAGTTAAAAGTGGCACAAGTTCTGGGGGAGAAGAATTAATCCCAGCCTTAGAAAAACAGAGGTGTGAGTGTGTAAATACATACCCTCTTTCTGAAAAGCCGTGAGAGAACCCAGGGCACAACACAAGCAACATAAAGCACTATGGTGTGCTGATTGCACAGGCTGAGCCCACAGCAAAAGGCACCCAATTTAGAGATCTGAGAGGAGAAAAAAAAAAAAAAAAAGTCAGAATTACTATTTACAAGTTTGCAAAAACATCCAGAGATCAAAAAAGATTCAGCATAGCATCCTTACAGGAGAAAGGCAAATACACCAGTGAGCATTGGTCAGTTGAAACACAGAACTCAAGGGATTTTTTTATTTGTTACAGGGAGATTCCAACAGTTTAACAGAAAAAATTCTTTAAGATGTGTCCAGCTGAACAGCCATGCCTCTATGCACACAGAGATCCTGTGCAGCATCACCACATCCTAATGATGGGATGAGTCCAATTCCTGAGCCCAGCTGCACAGCAGAGACTGCCCAGAAGTTCACTAGGAGTGATTTTTCAGAAATGTTCTAAAATAAAGCCATTATCTACAGAAATTTAATTTTTTTGTAACAGGAACGATTTTTCCCTCTTTGTTAGGCACACAGGGCTAAAGTCAGGGCTGCACAAACTTCCTAAAGCAAGGGAATTAAAGGTGACACTCCTCGTTACTCCAAAACCTCAAGCCTGTTCCAGTGCCCAACCACCCTCTGGGGAAAGAACCTTTTCCTGATATCCAACCTAAACCTCCCCTGCGTGTTTCAGCCCCTGGTGAGGGTGGTGTGTGAGATGCAACCACTTGCTTTGGTGTAGTGATGGGATCACCTTGTAAATTTTAATTAACTGCTCAGCATTCCACGCTGGACACTGCCCTGCCATGGAAGCACCTTGCCATAAGTTCAGAAAAACCTCTGTGGGTCTCAGAGCTGCCTGGCAGGGCTCAGAACCACCTCAGTCATTTTTTAAATACATGGATGAGCTCCAATATGATGCCTGCATGAGCATCTGATTTATGAAAAGCACTGCAAGCTTGCTGTTGGCAGCCTGGCCTCTTCCAGGCGTGGGATGCCAGACACTCAAAAAAACATTGGAACAAGCTCCTTAACTGCTTCTGAAAATCTAATTTTGAAAATCCCATTGGAAACTGGGCATGTGAAACATGGGAGAAGGTTGGAAAATGCCCAGCTCCATGTCTGTAGAGTTCAGGTTGTGGGGATCTTGGGACGCTGCTCATTAGAAAATAATAATTACCCCAAAAAAATCCAATGGTGAAACAAGATCTCTGTAGCCATTGATAAAACATGTTATTTGAGAACTCATGAAGCTGAGTAAACTACCACTGCAGACTCCCGAAATTCTAGCCTAGCTCGACAAAAATCCCTTTATTCACACAATTTACAGGAGTCACAGCAGGCAAGTCTGTCGGAGGAAAAGAGATCAGATGTTCAGGCAAACAAAAGTAGAAAGAACAAGACTGCTGAGCAAAAATATCATTTGGCTGACTAGTCTGTTTATAAAGTAGAAAATACAGCATGAAATTTAAAGTCTCTGTGTTTAACAATGCCATTATTTTAGGGGCACATTTAATTTCAAAAGAAAAACTGATTGAAAATTTGCTCGTCCCTGTTTTTGAGTTGGAACCTGGTTTCTGATTAGATGAAGTTTTCTGTAAAATATATCCATTTACCCTGAAGAAAATTACCAATTCTTAAACAAAACCTTGAACACTCACAGCCTAGTTTGTGTCTTTGAAGCAGGATGAACTAAAATGTTTAGATTGAAATTATTTTGGTTTTCCTGCTGCCATCCTGTGAGTATCAAATAAATCAATCCTAAACCCATCCAACAGGTCCCAACTCAATCCTCAAGCAAAGTGGGCAGGGTTTTTTCAATGTTTGCCACTTTTGAACATCCAGGTAAGTCAGGGATGGACCCCACCCAGCACAGGTGCTGAAACAAGACCCAAAACTTGGCCTTTTTATTTAAGCAAAACTGAATCAGCAGTAAACGAACAGGAAATTAAACAAACAAGTGCTCACCAATAACGAAAAAAATAACTATTCACTTTTCTTGAGATGTTTTACCTTTGATCTCTCTTCTGCAGTGGATGCTTCCTCAAAATGAGCAGTGAGAGCCATCAGCAGCCCCACAAACAGATTGTTTAAGCTGAAAACCTCTGCCGTGATGGACCACTGCCATGTTAGACGAGAAAATGAAAACACCCCCGCAGCAAGGATTCCTCCAGCATATGAGCCAGAAAGCCTGCAAACACAGATAACATGAAATCTTCTTTTCCAACAAAAAAAAAAAGCTTACTTTATTGTCCTTATTTTTTAAATTTAAAAAAAAAAAAAACATACTGCAGCAACAGCAATGAGTGCCACCCAGCACCCTGCCAAAACATTATATGGTTAAGATCTCCCTAATAATTTCTCTGTTAAAGATTGCCATTGGAAAGAGCAGAGCCTGTTTGCCAGCCACCCAACACCAAAGAATCTGCTTCTTCTCGCCATGAAAACTTCCAGGATTCAATTTGCTTCAGAAATCCTGATGAGGGAAGGCCCAGAGGGTCGTGGTGCACAGAGCCAGGGAGTCATGGCTTTAATGGGATACTCTGGAGGAGATGCCAGCAAGGATACAGCCTTCAATTCATCCAGGAGCTGAATTAAGAGTGGATTAGAGCTATTGAGGATGGACAGCATTGGCAGGGCTTTCCTGGGGGGGTTTTGGTGTCCTGGGCATTGCAGCACCCACAGTCCCAGCAGGGAGAGTTCAGGAGTGTGGGAAATGCTCCAGCAAGGGGGGACAGGGTGAAGCACCCACAGCTGGGATGGCTGTGGGCCCAAAGCTGGCCATCTCTGTGACTCCCAGATGGGATTATGGCACATTCCCCACGGAGCTGCCTGCCCAGCTCAGCTGGATGCTGCAGCCAGCCACGAGGTGGAATTCAGGAAAGCCATTCCACCACAGAGGCTCTTCCCACCCAGTCTCACTGGGAGCAGCTCTGGCTCTGCCTGTCTGGAAGCTCTCCCCTTTAGGAAGTCACCCTGAAAAGACACAGTGTAGGGCACCACAACATGCTCAACCAAGTTTTATCCAAAAGCACAAATAGCTGTGGCTGTGGTCAAAGCTACACTCCAGAAATTCACCATTCCACTGTAAGATTCAGCTAGTCTCCACCACAAATTGGGTATTTTTCTAATTCCACCCCAGACACACACAGTTCCATTTAATCCTAACAATTCTAGCAGGTTTAAGACAAAAAAATTATAAACTACCCAACCTCTTTATCAATCTACACGTGTGACTTCCACATGAGATTGTGAGATGAGGAAGCTCCTGATGGAACCCTCTCTACAATGGCTCCTCTGCTTGGTTTGCCAGAGTAGCTGAAGGTATCTGGAAAATATCACTAATGATTTTTATCTGCTTTGTGAAGTATTTTGAGATCTGCACCTGCAGGATGTAGCCAAAGGGTGAAAAGTATGGAGAAAAAAGGAAACAATTCTGAGGTGTTCCAGGCCAAGCTCAAGGTGACAGAGAGTTCAACATCAAGACTGTGGGAAGAAATCTCAAAAAATCAAGAGTTGGGAAAAAACCTAAAGAAAAATACCAGGTAAGGGCAGCAGGACCATGTGTCATGAAAAACCAAGTTATCCCCAATACACAAATCCACTTCATGATGCTCCTGTTTTGACTAAACCATTTAAACATTTCAAAC